GAACTAGATGGACCAGTGGTCTGGACTGATAAAGGTGACTTTCTATGTTTCTAGGAGTTTGCGACAATAACCCGGTACCTGCTGTCATCTGAATGTGCTTTTAGAACCATTTGGTCACAGCTTTGGTCTTAAAAGTTCCTGCTGTGTGACTGAGCACAGTTATTATTATGTAGCCCTTGTAGATAGGAATGAAATGGATGAGCTTATTTTAACATGCAGCAAAGGCTCCAAACTCACACAAGAGACCTGGTATGCAGGACGGAAGACGAACAGAGGGCAAGAACACCCGATTTATTTATTTATTAGTGTGTTTATTTATTGCATTTCTCTACTGCCCAAGAGCCAACACTCTCTGGGCAGCTCACAACAATTAAAACCATAAAATACAATGTAAGATATAAGAGTTTAAAAGTTTAAAGCTAAGCTATAAAATGAAAGTAAAAAACCAAAATAAAACCTAGGGGCAGTACAAAGATTTAAAATGCAGTAACATATTATTTATTTATAAAAATTTGTAATAAGCATCATCACATCAGTGAATCAAGTGATAAAGCATCCTCCCAAATTTTGCACTAGTCAGGGGTTTCATCAGTTTGAAATGAAAACTGATATTTTCATCAGTTTTGAACATGATGCAAATGATGAGTTTTGAACAATATCAGCATATTGAACATGCAAGTAAAGGCTGAATATAATCTGATAAGGATAATCTAAATTTGTCCAATTTCAGTTTAAAGAAACATAAGAATGGCTGCCCATCCACAGCACCAGACTGAGCAGGCAGGCACACAGATCACAGTCTTACAAATGTGATGAGATATTTTGTACATCTATTTTTCTAAATTTACATAGAATCATAGAATAGTAGAGTTGGAAGGGGCTATTTATTTATTTATTTATTTATAAAAATTGTATGCTGTCCAATTACTTGCATCTGTGGACAGCTTACAACATAAATAAGTTGACCATCTACACTGGCTGCAAAAGAAAGTACAACAATAAAATTCAATGTTAAAACATATTAAAATATTGATTAAATAAAAAGGTCTTGACCTGGCGCCGAAAAACATATAATGACGGCGCCAGGTGGACCTCTCTGGGGAGCACATTCCATAGTCGGGGAGCCACCGCAGAGAAGGCCCTCCTCCGGGTACTCTGTCTCTTAACATCTTTCACAGAGGGTTCCCGGAGGAGGGCCTCTTTTGCCGATCTCAGGGGGTGGGAGGGAAAATAGGGAAAAAGGTGTTCCTTTAGGTATCCTGGTCTCAAGCCGTTTAGGGCTTTATAGGTAATAACCAGCACCTTGAATTGAGCCCAGACTTGGATGGGAAGCCAATGGAGCTGATAGAGGAGTGGGATTATATGAGAATAATGCCCAGTCCCCAACAGCATCCTGGCAGCTCTATTTTGAACCATCTGAAGTATCTGGACTGTCTTCAAGGGCTAGAAGGCCATCTCATCTAGTGCAAGACACCAAATTAAACCATCCTTCTTAGATGGTTTTGAATGCCTCTAGTGTGGAAGAGCCTGCAACCTCCCTAGGTCATTGGTTCCATTGTGGTACTGCTCTAAGAGTCAGGAAATGTTCCCTGATATCGAGCTGGAATCTGGCTTCCTGCAGATTCCAGCTTGATATCCATTATTCCATGTCGTGCACTCTGGGATGATCAAGAAGAGATCGTGTCCTTCCTCTTTGTGACAGCCTTTCAAGGACTTTTCAAGTGCTATCATAGCTTCCCTCAGTCTTCTCTTCTCAAGGCTAAACATGCTCAGTGCTTTCAATCTGTTCTCATAGGACTTTGTTTCCAGTTCCTGGATCATTCTTGTTATCTCGTCCTCTGAACCCTTTCCAGCTTGTTTGCACCTTTCTTAGACTATGGTGTCCAGAACTAGACAATGTAGTCCAGATTAGGCCCAACCAGTGCGGAGTAAAGGGGAACTAGTACTACATGGGATTTGGAAGTGATACTTCTATTAATGCAACCTAAAATAGCATTTGCTCCTTTTGCAACCACATCACATTGTTGACTCATATTCCAAGGTTCTTCTCATCTGCAGTATTGTTGAGCCAAGTATCCCCCATCTTGTGGCAATGATCTGCTTTCTTTTTCCTAGGTGCAGAACTTGGAATTTGTCCCTACTGAATTTCATTCTGCCCAGCAGTCCACCTAACAAGATCACCCTGAATCTTACATCTGTCTTCCAGACATTAGTTATTCCACTCAGTTTTGTGTCATCTGCAAATCTGATAAGCATTCCCTGTACTTCCATTAATAAAAATGTTGAAGAGCACTGAGCCCAGGACAAAACCCTGCAGGACCCCACTTGTTACTTCCCTCCCCCCACCCCCATTTGAGATGGTGCCATCGATGAGTGTTCTTTGAGTCCAATTCTGCAGCCATCTGTGAATCCACCTAATTGTTTTTCCATCCACTTTTAGCTATTTGCTAATCAGAATATCATGGGGCACTTTGTTAGAAGCTTTGCTAAAGTCAAGATATATTATGTCCACAGCATTCCCACAGTCCATCAGAGAGGTTACCCAATCAAAAAATGAAATCAGATTAGTCTGGCAGGATTTGTTCTGGAGGAATACATGTTGGCTTCTAGGATTAACTGCATTGTTTTCAAGGTGTTTGCAGACTGACGGCTTGATCATCTGCTCCAGAATTTTCCTAACAATTGATGTCAGACTGACTGGTCTGTAGGTCCCAGGTTCTTCTTTTTTTCTCCTTTCTTAAAGATAGGGAAAACATTAGCCCTTCTCCAGTCATCAGCCATTTCTCCTGTCCTCCATGAGTTCTCAAAGATGATAGACAGTGATTCTGAAAGTTCTTCTGCCAGCTCCTTTATGATTCTAGGACAGAGTTCATCGGGCCCTGGAGATTTGAGCTCATTCAAACCAATTAGGTGATCCTTGATCATTTGCCAATCAATCTTGAGCTGCCGTCCTGCTGCTTCGCTTGTACTTCCCCTTCATCAGGAAGGCCATCGATCTTCTTTTGAGAGAAGACTAAGCCAAAGTAGTAATTGAACACTTCTCCCTTTTTTGTCATCTGTTGTCATTTTGCCATCCACATTGAATAGTTGAACCCCCACTTCTTTCCACTATCTTTTGCTTTGGACATATCAGAAGAAGGCTTTTTGATGCTTGTAGCATCCCCTGCTAACCTCAGTTCATTCGTAGCCTTAACCTTCCTGATGCCATCCCTGCAATTCTGTACTACCTGCCTGCATTCTTCTTTTGTAGCCTGGCCTTCCTTTGACTCCCTATACAAGTCCTGTTTTGTTTTCAGATCATCTCCAAGTTTTGTGAAGCCACATGGGCCTCTTCTGTAGTTTTCTACCTTTCTCCTTGTTGGAATTGTTTGTAATTATGCTGTTAGAATTTCCTTTTTTAAAAAAATCCCACCCATCTTGGACTCCTTTTCTCATTAGAGTCACTCACCATGGCACTTTACTTATCATTGTTCTGAGTTCATTAAAATAGCTTTACTTGAAATCCAGGTTACATGTTTGGCTACATGTGGCTCTTGCTTCCTTTAGAATAAAAAATTCAAGTATGGCATGGTCACTTCCCCCTCCAGAGTTCCCATAGCTGCCTCATCTTAGCAGGTGCAAATGTTACACAAATCAGTTCCCCTTTTTGGCAGTCCATAAGTGGATACCATATGAGGAATGCCTGTGCTTGTGCTTACACACCTTTGTGTACAGGTAGGAAGGCAGCCAAAGTGTTGAGGACAGTTATTTTAGACATCATGGGGATGTGTGTGTATCATTCTAAGCCCTGTGTGGCTCAAAGGTATGTGCAAATATTGCATATGTAACTATGAACGGTCTATATATCTGGCTTGTATGGCATGCCTAGTTTTAGGGGAAAGAGCTGTTGGGGCAGGAGTACTATTGCTCCATCCTTCCTAGCAGCGGCAATGAGACACCTACAGCTAGAGTGAAGATCAACACATTGCTCTGCTCCAAAGTAGAACAGACCTAAGATTTCAGTAATTTGGCCTGTGGTCTCACAAGGCCTTCATGAATCAATGAGTAGGGAAACATCTCACTTACCTGGCTAAGTTGAGGAGCTCAACCTATGAAAAAACAACTAAGCCATGATTTGTTAGTGACTGGACAATACAATAAACCTTGGTGGCTTATAAATAAGGGGTGGCTTGTCATGTTGTCTGAACCCAGCCATGGTGGCTTGTGCATGGATAACATTAAGCAGCCACAGCTTATTGTGTTGTGTGGATCCAGCCAGTGAGATAGCAAGTCAGGTATATTGTTGATCCCCTCTGCAGGGCTGAAGTTAAAATCAGAGCATCTTGTGGTTGCAAGTCCCACCACACAGGATGGGAAATGGAAAAAATGGCACCTCATCATGGGTAAAGAAAAGCTCCAGAGATGTTGCTGGGCTCTGTCTCCCATTAACTCCAGATTGTATGGCCAGTGGTTGGGAATGATGGAGATTTTAACGAAACAACATCTGGAAAGCTGTAGTTTCCATACACCTGCAATACAGACTCATTTAAAGGGAAGAGGAATGGAGATGGGAAGAATCCATTCAGTGGAATAGGAATAAAAGAAGTGACTAATGAACTTGTGGTGCTCTGTAGATAATAACCTAGCACTAGGGTTGTGCTCATGGGGTTAGTAGAACATTTATCATTGCTCTGCTTAAAGAATGGGAATGGGTTGTCTGCAGCTGGAAAGGATTGGCCAGCCAAATTAGGTATGCATCATCATGCAATTCCCTGGCAGAGTATTTTTGTTATTGCTTTGCTGGTGGGAGAGTGGACAGGGGATATGGGACTTTAGGTCACATTTTTATCAGGCTGACTCTGAAGGTACCAGGAGTGGAAATTTAACAAGGTTTCCCCATATGGGGTAGTGAGACCAGCTGGTGCCCATGCGAATTCCTCACTAGGCTGATGGTACATGTGAACAAAGACTCAAGCCACCTGTTCACTGTGATCTCCTATACTTCCTCCCCTCTTCTCAAGACATAGACGAGTGTGCCAACGGACTGCACACCTGCAGCCACATCTGCATCAACACTCAGGGTGGGCACACCTGCCACTGCCACCCTGGCTTCAAGACTGATGCTGGCAATGCCAGCAAATGCTTGGGTAAGTTGCCAGTATCTGCTAAGCAGGGTTGCGACTGATGCTTCAAAAAACCTCTGCAACAGATGAGCAAGACTAAATGGCCAAGAACGTCTGTGACGTGCCTTACAATCTTCCTTTCCAGTTTGCTTTCGGATGCCCCTTGGCAAAAACGTATGGAGGAGTGGGTTGTGAGTGCCCCTTTCAGAGTTGTGGAAGTGGCCTGGGAGAGGATCAGCATCAAGGGCGGGTGTGGTTGGGCACTTACTGAGGGCTCAAAGCTCAGCAGGGGTCCACCAACGACACTCTGCTAGAGGTGCAGCTGTTCAGCATTGTAACCAGCTTTTCCACTTACCTCTTGCTCTAGCCTAGAACATGGTGGTGGTGAGAAGGAGAAGCAGGAAGTGCCCCTGCCCATTGGCTCACTGACTCCCTGTCTGTCAGGCAAGCACATGGTAGCTTGCTTAATGGCAGTAAGGGGAAGGTTCCCAGTGAGGATGCCCTACCCAGCAACTCTCCAAAACCAGGCAGCACTAGGCTGGGATAAGGGTTTGTTATAGAGATGGAGAAGCAGAAGGCAGTATTTTTGATCTGCAGGAGGGAGGAGAGGGAAAGAGAATGGGTTTCTTCACACACCACTGAAGCCCCCCACCAAGAGCACCACTACCACTGGTACCAGGTCCTCAGGCTGGGTGGCACACCCATCTTCCTCCTGTTTTTCAGATGTGGATGAGTGCAGAGAGATTCCGGCCCCCTGTGATCACATCTGCCACAATGAACCTGGCTCTTTCCATTGCCACTGCCAGAAGGGTTTCTCCCTGGGGCCAGACAGACGGCGATGTCTGCGCGATTGATCAGTGGCAAGAACGTCTGCAATGGGCACCACCTCACGCTCTGCCCAGAATGCACAGCAGGGAACTACTGGCTCATATGTGGCAGGTCAGCAGAGCCCAGTTGTATGGCTCATATCTTCATTTCTGTCTCCGGCTCAAGATTGCCCCTCTGTCTCCACTGAGCTAATATGCCAAAATCTGTTTGGAGAACTGGGCTCTTCCTTTCCTTGCTTTTCCTTTTTGAATCTGAAATAAAGGACTGCCCCCTACCATTCCATCACTTTAATTGAGGATGTGGTAATTTATATTCTCTGGTACTACTTGGTTCTTCTCCCCATCCTGGCAATGCAACAAGAGTCAGAGTATCACGGCATTCTGCAGAGTTGGCATTCTCAGCATGTAGGCTATGCAAGACATATGTAAACATGCCACTTTTCAATTCAGGCCAAAAATAAGTTCTTGCTTTGTAAAAAGCAACATAAATAATATTACCAAAGGCAAATAATGCATAATATATAATGCTGTACAGGAAATATAAGATGAGGCATTCATCAGCAGCAAGAACACATAGAATCTATATGCAGCATTCCCCAACCTGATGGCCTTCAGAAGCATTTGGACCACAACTCCCAGACTTCCCATCCAACAGGGCCATTGACTGGGGATTCTGAGTGTTGCAGTCCAAACATGTCTGGAAGGTTGGGGAAGGCTGAGCTATAGGAAGGCTCTTGCTTAGATGAAAAATCTGGCATGACCTTATTTTCCATTCCTGACTTTGTAACAGGTTACTTACCTCATGCACTAGGATCCTAAGTTCAGAGAGTTCTTGCCACTTAAGCCCTAGATTATCCCTGCTGCTGGTTTGTTTGTTTGTTTGTTTGTTTGTTTAATTACATTGGACTGCAAAGCAATTTGGATCATGAATGTGAATGCTGTGAATCCTAGATTTGGCTGCTGCCATAATGCAACTGCTCATTCTATAATCTGGTGAGTAATGATGCTTGAATAACACATAACCTGGAGAAATCAGGATTTTCTTCTTGCTACTCGTTTAAGCCAGGATTTTACTCCCTTCCAGTCCACTCCCTACAAAGGTTACTACAACTAACCAAAAAGACATACCTATTTAGGAAATAGTTTAACACTTTGCCTGATGCTGTGGCCCCTGTGTTTTAATTGGTTTTAATGTGTTTTACTGTATTAATATGTTTATATATTGTAAGCTGCCTAGGAAGGCCTTGGCAGTTATAGGCAGCCTATACATACATACATACATAATCATGCAAGCCTATTCAGGAGCAAGTCCTATTAAGTTCAATGGGATTAACTCCAAAGTAAGTACATATAGGATTTAAACTTGTGTTAACTAGTGCACCACATGGTTTCAGCAACTGATTAATAGGCGATGCAAATGTGCTTGGATTTGTAGACTATTATGGAAAAAGTGGGGAAATCCCACTTTAAAAAACTACTTAAGCATGGCCTTATTTATATGAACGCATAAAATAGAATGTTCAAGCAAGTAAAGTACAGAAATTGCACACTTTATAGCTATAAACCATGTCAGCAGTGAATATTTAATTCATATTTACAATTTTTAATGCACATTTCATAAATATTATTTCAGGAATCTTCACCTTAGAGGGATACCTACAACTGGAGCCTCTAACATGTGAATTTTCCTGTTCAGTTTGATGCATTCAGCATCAATCTGTGATGAAAGATGTTTTCAGTCCCAGATCAGGCTTTTATTGTGCAATTGTCCTGCCTCATTTGCAGAATTTTAAAGGGTGAGGGGTAGGATCTCAATGAGATTGTCTTCAACTTGCTTCTTCCATCTGAAAAAAGTTCACTAAGGAGGAAAAGATGAAATAGCTGCATATTCTTTCACTGATAGTGAAAGGAATCCTCCAAGGGAAAGTACCTTACTAAGTCAAAGAGGTCTTTTGAAACAGGAACTTCCAGCTCAGCCTCGCATCTCTTTTGCAGAGATTTAGGATTTGTTCTCCACGTGTAAGAATATCCAGCCTAGCTTCCAGCACTTCGTTTCATGAATTACTCTCCACTCCAGGAGACACATTGTGTACAGAGCAAGCAATGCATCTGGTTGCTTAGTATGAAGAAAACCTGCACTCAGAAGCAACTGAATCTCTAGGGCAGATTCTCCAGGGAGTTCTTATTGGGTAAAGAAGCAGCAGGAAATAAGGAAAAAGCCAGAATCCTCAAGGACTCACTGCTCCAGGCAGTGCTGGAATGGGGCCTTGCTGCCAATTTAATTTCCTGTAATGCCCCAGAAGGATGCTACATCTGGAGACTTTTGGGAAATTTAGATGGAGACCAGACCTAATTACATGGGGCTCTTTAAAGCTTTGGCTTGGATTTTTATTAAGGGGCAAAGGTCAGCAGTGGACTTTGGGTGCAGCTGGGCCTCTGACTACTACCCAAGCTTGCCAGCTGTAGATGCTGGTCCTGCATTGACCAATAGCCCCCTTTCACCAATTACCTGGCTCTTACTTGCTCCAGGCTACCTTTCACTCCATCATATCCCTCCACATTCCCCTTTATTTATGTATTTATTTTTAGCTCACTCCACAGCCAAAAAAGCTCCTGGTAGAAATAAAAGAGCTTTGTTAGAATGTCAGGTGGCAGGAAAAGTTGGATTCACAACTTGTTGTTGCTGCAAGTCTTGTGGCAGGCCATTCTTGTTATCTGCTTTATATTGGAAGAAAGAGAATGTTATCTTTCTGACTGACTGACTGACTGACTGACTGACTGTCTGTCTGTCTGTCTGCCTATCTATCCATCTATCATAACATTTATATCCCAACTTTATTCCTCTTGCAAGAAACCCAAGGTGACTTACAGATATTTCTCCTCTCCTTTTTGTCCTCGCAACAAACCTATGGGGTATGTTAAATTGAGAATCAGTGTCTGGCCCAAGTGAGCTTCAGGGCCAAGTGGGTACTGGAACCTGGATCTTCTGAGTCCCAGCCCAACATTCTAACCACACCGGCTGTCCTCTCTGCTTCAGCTGGAAAGCTACCTGGAAACAAGCGCAGCAAAGGATAGGGGCAGTGATGGACAGCACCCTGGATGGATGGATGGATGGATGGATGGATGGATGGACGGACAGCAGCCACAACAGCTGGGTGCTGTCAGGTCTGGAATCAGAGGCGAGCACCTCACCGAGGGTCCAGTTGCTCAGAAGGGCCCATTGTCTCTTAAAACCCATCACCCTTTGCACTGTAGCTGCTGCTTGTTCCTGCCTCTGCTGGCCTCTCCTCTCCTCAGCAGCCCCCAGACCCAGTGCCACTGCTGCCCCAAAACTGCCAGTGCCAGGGTGACAGTGGTTGCTTGCTGCCACTATGTGGAGTGGCCAGATGACCGACTCTTAGGATAATCCACTATTTTGGAAAGCTGGCAAAGGACAATCCTCTATTTGAAGGTGTCCTCTCTGTGAAGGGCTGTCTAAACCATGTCTGGTTAAAGTCAAAGAACTATAGGAAAACCTTGTAGTTGCTGCTCAGTAGTTAAGTACCTTGATGGTCAGCCCTGTGCACTACAGCCAGAAGCCCCGCTGAAGGCTGGCCCTCGCCCTGGTCCCTTTGCCTTCTCAGATCTTCGCTGAGAGGCAGGCATGAGCGATGGAGTGACTGGGAGGCAGTAGAGGCACCCGGGTGTGCTTGCAGTTCCGATGCCTCATTCCCTCCCTCCCTTTTGGTGGCACATTTAATGTCTGTATTGCAGTAGGTACACAATGGATTTTGAAATGATACTCAACCATCTATTGTAAGGAATTGCAATAGCAAGAGCATTCCATTGCAGGGGAATATCACACCATAGACCATTTAGTGAATAAGTTTTAGTTCCTTGACAATCAGAATTGTCCTACATGAAAACAGGTTTGCCTTTACATGTAACTAATATAGGTTCACCCAGCAGAGAAAGAAAGAGCCAAACAGATAAGAATAACATAAAAATTGTAACCTAGATCAGAGATAGCACAGTGCAATACTATCTATCATAGTCACCTCCATCATTTCTTTCTCCCCTAGGCATCCACTACAATTTTCCTCAGAATAAACACCGTACAATACTCTGTCTATCACAGTCACCTCTGTCCTTTCTCTCTCCTCTAGGCATCCACTACAATTTTCCTACTCACTGTGGTTTCTCACTCTTGATGCTTGTGTGTCTCTAAGTAATGAAAATTATGCAAATGATTGAGCTGATTGTCAAGAAGCTGAAGGCTCGCAATGCAACATATCAAGTTAAGATGCTGCTGTGAGGTCTTCAGTCTACAGCACCGTGCAGAAACTGTCATGCTATGCGCAATGTTCAGTGATTATTGCACAAATAATTTCTGTTTGCTGGAAGCCAAATCCATAATCCATTTAAGCCAAAACTTAAATTTAAGTGGCTTTTAGTAATTGCATAAAATTAATGTGAGCAGACTGCGCTGAGGAGGCCTATGGGATAGGCAGCCTGATTCTTAACTCAGATCACATCAGTGCAGGTTCTTGATGCTAATACTTTTTCAGTCGTGTCACACGATCCTCTATCTTTCATTTAGTACGTTTGCAGTCATTCTGTCAAATCTTGCACTATGTTTACAGAATGACAGGGTCATTAGTAATCTTATGTCAGACCAAGGTTCCCATCTCATCTGCTGTATATCTTTCTGTCACTTGGATCTGTTGGAGGATGTAACATATCTCCAGGAAGGTTTGGATGATGTAATCCTCACATGCATCAAAATTACACTCTGGTGCAAGATTTCTTTCCTTTCCCTAGGGAACCAGGGACATGAAACCCCCATAATTCTCTGGGTCTCCCCCAAGCAATGCTGCAATTAATTTACACATAAGCCATCAACTGAGGAAGACTGAATTGTAGTAAGGCAGCCCATGTTCTGAGTCCTACCCCTCCTGTAATCTGTTGTTACCGCTGCCAGGCAAAGGGTCTCCATTGCTTGCAGATCCCATCTAATAACTTCCTTCTGCTACTTGTGGGAAACATGTGGGCCCCAGTTCCCATTGTCTTTAGCACACAGGACACGTGAAGGTAGTCATCCCAGTACAGGCTGTGCCTCAATTCTACTGGGTGTGTGGGGCTTGTTTCCCAGGAAAATCCAGAGTGCTGGAAAAGAGATTGTGTGAGGGAGTCATCCTTGTGCCC